GGCGAGGAGAAAGGAGCGCCAGGCGGCCGCGCGTGCCGCACGGTCTCCTCCCAGCTGGTGGAGCGTCCTTCGCTCTCTGCCCGCACACAAGACGACCTTGTTGCTGCCGCCGAAGGTGCCGGCCTCGCGACTGGGCGTCTCTGGCGCGAGGATGAGGAGACACGACTGCGGGAGAGACGAGTAGAGCTGAACACACCGCAGTGCCACGCTGGCAGTGGCCGGCGGTGACGCGTACACGACCGCAACCCGCGGCCGCTCACCCTTCAGGATGGCGCGACGCAGCGCGGCGAGCTGGGCTGGCCTTTTGCAGGGGCAGCGCCAGCTGCTGACGGCGATGGGTGGGCACGCCGACTCGGCTGGGCCATCGCTCGAGCAGAGGACGACCTCCTCGATGTGCGAGAGGTCGCCGCCGCTGGCGAGGAGAGCCTCGAGCACCTCCACTCCCCATAGGAGCACAGTCAGCCTCTGGTCGGAGGCGAGGGACTTGGCGATGATAACGTCGGCAGCATGCGCGGCTGGCATGGCCGGCGCGCTGCTCGGGGGGCAAGCCGTCATGAGTAGAGATTTCACGCTGTAGAGCGCCTCTACATCGCTCTACAACGCACCCGCCTCGTCACGCGGCGGATGTAGAGCTCTACAGCTCTACTGCTCTACAGCGCTCTACATCTCTACATACAGCTGGGTGATGCTCTGATAAACCCTCTGGATCTTCGACAAAGCTCGGATATTTCTTTTTTAAAGTGCAAGGTGTGAATACGAGGTTTATGATAGGGCTACTACGACGAACTATGCGGCAATCGACTGGGCGCCTGGCGCCCGACCACCCCCGCGCAAAGACCTCGTAGTAGCCCTCCCCGTAACCGACTTGGCCGGACGTGTCCAGGCCGCTGTCGCCGCGCAGATCGGCGCGAGCAGTCGCTCGAGGGGCTCTACTGGCTGGCGGTGCTCAAGGGGAAGGCGTACACGCTGGCCGAGGACACGGTCGTCAACACTGACACCATCCCCGCGGGCTATCTCGTGGTCAAGGCGCATTGGCTCAGGCTCGAGCAACGCGAGTGCGAGGGCAAGCTTCGCTCCTACACGCTGCTCGAGGCCGAGACGCTCATCATCGTGAATCACATGGTGCGGCTGGCGGGCTTGCGCTTCTCGCCCGGCCCGGGCGGCCCTGCGGACCGCCAGCTGAGGAGCGCGCGCGAGAAGCTCTTTTATATTGGCCTATAGACGCATTACTCGCTCGAGGCGTGCTGCAGTGAAGACCAGTCTTATTGAACTTGTTTGGAGGCGTCGATTTGTGCAAAAATGTGTGTTAGAGAGCGCTAGATGGCAAAATTTTCTTCGCCTCCGGCGGGGCTGCTCGCCGCGGGGCTAGAGAGTGACTTTTGTCGATGTCGGCTAGAAGTGCTGCACGTTTTTCAGAATTTCACCCAACGCGCCTCATGTCGGAGAGTGGCCGTGCCTCGTTCGCCGCTTATGATGTAGAGTTTGTTGTTACAGCGCGCTCTACTGTGCATCGACTCACAAATCATCGTCCCACGGCGGATGTAGAGCTCTACAGCTC